TGCATCCAGAAGCAAAGTCAAACCCGGACAGGCCATCCATAAAGTCAGCAACAATATGCACCAGTTCACCATGCTGTTGCACCCATGATCCCTGCCATCATCTCCACTTTGGCATCTTGTTGCCTGCTAATGTCTTCAATGCAGCTTGTACTTCTTCCTTCAATACCATTGGTTCGTAGTCATATGCTACTCCTGAACTGGTTGAACACAGAACAATTCTTTATGGTAGCGTGGCTGTATTTCTTCCGCGGGTGTTTAAGGTGTCCTATGTCTTCAATAGTTTGTCCAGAGAATCCTGCACTCTTTCTCCCCTGCACTTCCAAGGACACCCAGTCCTTGGGCTCTAAGCTTTTTGTTCTCCTCTCCATGCGCTGATGATTTTATTTAACTTGGGGGGTGGTGGTGTCATATACTCTTTTTAAAATCAAATCAATTCTTCAGGTTTCCTCTACAGAAAATTTCACGAGCACACAAGCATATTAAAGTCTGTACAGAGATATCAAGGAGTTCAAGCAGGAAGAAAAGTTTTGATACTGATTTTGAGGGCAATTTTACAATACTGCTTGATATGACTGAACTATGGAATGGTATGATGGCTGGATTAGCTCCTAATAAAATTGTTGGGGGGGATCTGCCTAAGATATCAGTAAGATATCAGGCCTGCAAGAATTCCGTAGAGTCCAGTGGATTCTAAGAAACTTCCCTGTACCAGGGATTCTCAATCCTAGCTGTACATTAAAGTTACACAAAGATCTATAAAATCACCTCAATTAAACTAGATTTTCTGGAGCTGGGTCCCAGGCATCCAGGCTATTTAAAAGTTTCCAAGTGATTCAAATGAGTATTGAATGTTGATTGATGGCTATTAACCGAACTCAGGGGGCGGGGGTATGGTATGTATGGAAAAAGCAGTAAGCCCAGACCAGACTGGCTGCTATCGAGCCCGTTCTGACAGGCCCAACGAGACCCCATGGGTCCCGGGAGAACGGTGCTCCATGGGATCTTCCGGGTGGACTTCCAGCAGTCATCTCCAGGCCTTCCTTCTGCAATGCCTCTGGGTGGACTCCCGCCTCTAAGTGTTGCTTAGCAGCCAAGCAGCCTGTCTTGCTCACCTAGGGACCCCCAGCCACAGATGCCAGCCATTTTTGGTGGGCTACACTCACGCATGCATAAGGGGACACAGATATTGTTTACACCCAAATACTACCTAGAGAGCACCTATGTAATAATTTCACTTAGAAGATTCTCTGAAAGCAGCTGCAAATAATCTAATTCTATGTTGTTATTTCTAAGTGCCCACCTCATAGTGCCCCTACGTACCACAGAACGAGGCACTGCCCGGTCCTGCTCACAACTGTTAGGTTCGAGACTGCTGTTGCAGACACTGTGCCAGTCCAGCTTGTTGAGGGGCTTCTCTCTCTCTCTCTCTCTTAACCTTCACTTAACCAAGGATGATGTCTTTCTCTAGAGACTGCTTCCTCCGGATAATATGTCCAAAGCACAGGAGACAAATCTCACATTCCTTGCCTCTAAGGAGCATTCTGGCTGAGTTCTTCCAGGATTGGCTCCTCCTTTTGGCAGTCGCATGCACTGATTCTGCTTCAGTCTTGTCCTTATGCACGTGCACATGAGGTGACGGAACATCCCATAGCTCGGGTCACCTGCATCCTCCAAGTGACATTATATTTGCTTTGGGGTACCCTAAAGAGGTCTTTGGGAGCAGATTTGCCTGATGCGATACGGGTGTAGACTGTGGATCCAAGGAATATAAACTTCTTGACAATTTCAAATTTTTCTGTTTATGATGGTGTTGCTTATTGGTCTAGTTATGAAGATTCTTGCTTTCCTTATGTTTAGGTATCATCCATAGGAAAGGCTGTGATCTCTGACCTTCGTCAGTCTTTGCCACAAATCCTCTTCACTTCCAGCAAGCAAGGTTTTATCATGTTTATCTTA